AAGAACCATAGATTTAAATAAAACTTAACCGTTAAGAGAAACAATAGCCACATAGTTCGAATTGAGTTTGAAGCCATATTGCTTGCTTGTTTATGTTAATCCAGTAAAACAATTAGTATTAATAAACATAGCCACCAGGAACTAAACTCCCCAACTTTTTTTATCTTTAATATAAACAGATCTTTGTCTGCAAGAGTTTGTCTGCAAGAGTTTGATTTAGAGAAATGGAGACAGGTTGAACTAGAATAAAACAATGACTTCCAAGGACTTAAATCAGAACAAAGCAAGAATTAGTAGCTCCCTGCCTCCCAAACACCAAAAAGGGTTGCATAAGATAGAAATTAAAGTATTTCATTTTAAAATTATTTTTCTTATTTTTGCAAAGAAGAAAATGAATAGTCATACATTATTCTGTAATATAGCACATATGTTCATATACTATACAGTTAATTTGTTTAATTTAAGTAAGTTTGTCTAAGAAATAAAAATGTGAAATAATAAAATATAGAATAGTTTATCTAGTTTGTAAATAATCTTATCATTGATACTGCTGTTAATAGAATGCTAGTTTAAAAATGAGAAGAGGTAAATTGTGTGGGGACAGAGAACTTCGTTCAAAGCTAAGTGCACACAATAACTATTTCCTTTGTCCTTATGTTCTAATACTGCTAGAATGTAATTCAAAATAATATGATCATCTGCAAAACTAATGCATCTTGAGATAATTAGCTTATGATAACCAGTATGGTGTAGTCATTAAGGGGTCCCCAGTTCAAGATCAGACTGCCATGGAAGCTTATTCTCTTTTAATCCAATTTATATAACAGGATTGTTAAGGGAAAAAACTGAAGGAGAGGCTGCTGTGTAGGCCACCTTAAGCTTCTGGAGGAATGGAGTGATATAAATCTAACAAGTTTTATTCAAAAGGATATCATAATAGCACAAGACTACATCTTTTGAATCAGTGTGGCATTATCATCCTAAGCAATTAGTTTAATGTCCTGGTTTTTTTCCTGAAAAAGATACATATTTATAAAATATACATAAACAAATATTTTTATCAATAAATCAAAATTCTAATTCTGTAGAAATCTGATTCATAGTAGTCAAAAATCTTAAATATAATAATTAAAGTTAAAAAATGAAAAATAGTATCCATTGTTTTTGACAATCAAATTGTTAAGCACAATCCATCCTCTGGATCCATCCTCCAGTCTAGAGGGTTTAATCTAACCTTCCATTTGTAATTTCCTAGTTGTCCATTTTGCAGAATTATATTGGAACTCTAACCTTTCTTGAAAATGACCTTCAGAGTATTGCTGATTAAATATGAGATAATAGATCTCATGTTCCTCCTGTTTAGCCCTGCTTGCTGTTGTAACCAAATTCTGAATCAAAATAATATCAACAGTAAGTTTAGGATTTGTAATATCAGTCCTGCATAGCACTTCATACACGATTGTGTTACTTTGTAGTCACTTGTAAATATACGGTTCTTTATTATGCATTGCAAAATACAAGTAGTATTATTACTAAAGTTACTGTAATATTATTATAGTCTACTTGTAGGGGGAGAACTGCAGTTTTCACAGTCTGAATACAGATGGAAATTACAAAGGGATTAATTTATTTGTGAATTATAATGATGATGTTGTTCATTATTTAAACAGATTTATTGTAAAAGTAATAGCAATAAAAAAGAAATAAGCTTGAACAAAGCAAGGAAGCAGAAAGAAGTATAAATTGAATTTTCTTCAAGTTTAACATGTCGGGGGGGCTGCATTTTTCTTATGGCCATATGCTAGAAGTTGAGTAATGTATAATGGGAACATTATACATTACTCAACTTACACAAAATATCATATATTCAAGAAGCACACCTCTGCTCACAATATAAAACCTTATGTAGTAGAGTACCATTGGTATACAAGAGGAAAGTATCAGTCTTCCAGGAACACCAAATGTGGAGAAATGGGCACCTTAGGGTTAGCAATATTGATCGTATGCAGTGGACCCAGAATGCTAAGTGTGAAATGTTAGGAAAATAGATAAATGGAGCAAAAGAATAGAATACTCCTTTTAGACCAACTGAATAGAACATTGCCCTCCACACCATAACATTTATTTCACCCTTAGTGACAATAAAGAATGTAATTGACTGAAATGTCTTTTTCCCACTTACGTATAATATGCAAAGCCAAGCTAGACAACTTAGATACACATTGAAACTAACCTTACGGCACATTTTTTTTTCCAAAGCAGGCATTGTGCCTCAACTATATAGCAATCACTTTACAGCACTATCTGACCATCTGAGCATTTTAAAAATACTTGGCAAGTTTTAGCATATAAAAATATTCAAAGAGGATCTTCAAAGAGTTTTTGACATTGTTCTGCTCTTAAAAGTGAGCATTTACACTGCTCAAGGCGATTTTGAGGCAAGATAACCATGAAGTGATAATATGGAAATGAAGGTTTTATTTATTCATTTATTTATTTATTTAAAATAGAACTTCATATAAAATAAAGGGAAAATCTAAGGAGAGCCTTTGAGGGTTGTGAAAAGTGAACCAGACAGAAAAAGAAGGGGGAAAAAAACCCTGAAAATGAATCTGTCAGAATCTTGGTAGTTGGGGAGCCCCACTCAGTCTCTTAGCATTGTGAACAGGGGCTGCTGAACAAAAACATTTAGGGCCTTGGAAATGAAAAGAATGAAGGTCTATTTTTATCAACATTAGATGTTCATATCAATATCTTTATGTCGGACACACATTAATAAGTGGGGTTTGAAAGGGAAGCAGAAGTGAAACTTTTGCATTTCAAAAAGGTGAATTTTTAATGTACAGTATATGCTTAAAAAAAAAACTTTACCTGCAGGAAACAAATGCCAGTGGCTAAAAAATTGCCATTTTGAAACTATTTTGATTGAATCGGTCTTAGTCTTTTAATTCCAAACAATATGACAGCTATTTTGCAGGAATATGCCTTGTATCCGGTAGTAAATTATTTTGATGATTTTAAAAATGGAAGACTCATTCGGCCACAAGTATTCAGCCAACATTTCTAAGTGCCAATTGAAGAGTTTCATTTCATTCAGGGTTTCTGCTTTCCCACACCTCAATTTTAATTAAGATGATTTTATAGTGCTTTAGTTTATTGTATAATTTTTATTTGTAAATTGCTTCAAGTCATATTTGCATGGGAAGTGGTATAAATTATTATTGATAAATAAAAAATAATTAGCCGTATAAAATCAGTTTAAGGAAGCGGAACATTCATTCTTTTGAAGCCATGTTGCTTTGTAAGATTGTGTACTTGATTTGCTGTTAGATCATATTTCAAAAAAGGGTTTGTTAAAATCCATTCATGGGTAAGCTGAGGCAAAATGTATTGTTAAAACATCTTTTTGACCGAATATACTATAAATTTTAACATACCTCTGTGATTTCTGTCACTTTTTATGCTACCATTGTGTTTTTAAGAAGCATTAATGGTCTAGACTTTTTTTCACATATACTTTGAAGAAAGAAATATTTAACTCTGAGTAGTAATAATAATAGGAGCACTGACTGTTGAATCAACCTCAGAATTGGCATAAAACACCTTCTCTCTTTCAAATGCCTCAATTGCTAGGATTAAGAGGCCTTTCTTACATTTTGGACTATAACAATAATATTAATTGCTTCTAGAAAGCTATAGTTAAAATTCATAAAAGTTCCAAAGCCCTAAGATACATTTGGAAATACCAGCATTTCTATGGCCATTTGCCCGCTATTAAAATTGGGGAGGGAAAGGGGAGAATGAAAGTATTATATTCTCAAGGCATGAATATACCTCCACCCATTTGTGATTTCTTAGTATACCTTAATTCTTAATATAGCTAACACTTTGGGAAATAGTGGCATCTGTGTGATTAAATTGTCTGGTTTACTTACTGATTAGTTCCCAGCTTGTATATGAGAGTAAGACAGTTTGCTGTTTCATTCATGAACTGGCTCACATTCATTTATTCTGTCTTGTCATATTCAGGGCAAGTACCCATGATCAAAATAATTAAATGTCAGGGCTCATGTACCATCAGCAGTTAGTATGTCTGATCATGTTGCCATGTTTCTTTTTTATGGTGTGTATGCATTATCTTCTAGTAAAGCAGAAGTCAGGGGGGAAAGAAATATGATATTCTCCTGATCTATCACTTCTGTTGGTTGTTGCTGGGAATAAAAAAAAAAACAGAATTAGAAAATATATTTTTTTCCTGCATAAAACAGCTGCTTTGAAAAAATCAGTGAAATACCTAGGAATTTATCTGAATTAGTATTTCACAATGGAGGAATTCACATTTTAAATAATGATAACAAATCTGCCCTGTATGTCCAGTATTCCATTTTATACTTTGTAAAATCATGAATGTTGAGTTACAGGTTGCCTTTGATAAAACTTTCTAGGAACTTTCAAACCTGTATTCTGGATATTTCAAGGAAAAAGAAGGATATTTTAGAAAAGCAAATAAATTGCTGACCTTTTCCTATTAAATAATGGATATGATTGTTCCATTAAACACAATTCAAATGCAGTTCTAATAACTATTACCATTCAATTATTATAGTAGCTTAAACATCAGCATGTTTAAAGCTTTGGATAAAGGGATTGATGGAATGATTTGTACACAAGATTAATTTTTCAGATTTAGACATGATTCTAGTATTCAATTTTCACTGGATGCTAAATGTATATAACCTTGGATTGGAATATGGAGAAATGTAAGTTGGTTTCTTCTAAGCTTGTATTAAAACTTTAAAGAACTTCTATGCTATAAGCTAGGACTGAGTTTAGGATGAAGATGGATTTCAGGCATGTACAGGTTATGTTAAACAAGAACAGATGCCTCCTCTTTATTAAATATGATTACATTGCAAGTGTTGGGGGGAAAGTTTATTTACAGTTCTCAGGGTTACTTTTCTAATTATTCTCCCTTTTTCTCTGTCACTTTTTCTCAACAGGTAAAGATGAGCCTTCAAGCTATATTTGCACAACATGCAAGCACCCTTTTAATAGCGCTTGGTTCTTGCTTCAGCATGCCCAGAATACACATGGATTCCGCATCTACTTGGAAACTAGCCCTTCAAACAGCTCCCTTACTCCACGCATCACCATCCCTCCTCCTCTGGGACCCGAGACTGTTGCACAGTCCCCGCTGATGAATTTCCTAGGCGACAATAACCCTTTTAGTCTCTTGCGAATGACAGGTCCCATCCTGCGTGATCATCCTGGCTTTGGTGAAGGTCGGCTTCCTAATACACCTCCCCTCTTCAGTCCGCCACCTCGTCATCATCTGGATCCACATCGCCTTAGTGCCGAAGAAATGGGGTTAGTTGCCCAGCATCCTAGTGCCTTTGACAGAGTCATGCGTTTAAACCCCATGGCAATTGAGTCGCCAGCGATGGATTTCTCCAGAAGGCTTCGAGAACTGGCAGGAAACAATGCCACTCCACCACCAGTCTCGCCTAGTCGCAGCAACCCTATGCATCGCTTATTGAATCCTTTCCAGCCAAGCCCTAAATCTCCTTTTCTGAACACCCCTCCATTGCCACCAATGCCTCCAAGCAGCACTACGCCTCCTCAGCCTCAGGCAAAGAGTAAGTCATGTGAATTTTGTGGAAAAACCTTCAAGTTTCAGAGCAATCTCATTGTCCACCGGCGCAGTCACACAGGAGAGAAGCCCTATAAATGCCAACTCTGTGACCATGCTTGTTCCCAAGCCAGCAAATTAAAACGCCATATGAAAACACATATGCACAAAGCTGGATCCATGACAGGGAGGTCCGATGATGGATTATCTGCAACAAGTTCCCCAGAGCCTGGTACAAGTGAACTTACTGGAGAGGGACTAAAGTCTAGTGAGGCAGATTTCAGGAATGAGAGTGATCCTTCTTTAGGCCATGACAATGAAGAAGAGGAGGAGGAAGAGGAGGAGGAAGAGGAGCTTGAAAATGAAAGTCGACCTGAGTCAAGCTTTAGCATGGATTCAGAACTAAGCCGTAACCGAGAGAATGGTTCCAAATCTCTGCCAGATGAAAAATCCCTTGTCCTAGGAAAAGTGATAGAGAATGTAAGCCTCGGTACCATCCAGCAATACAGTGACATGCTGGCTGAAAAGCAGAAAAGAGGTGGCTTCATGAAAAGGTCTTCAGATCAGCGAGATCTCTGCCCTCGAGACCTTTGCCAGAGAGACACAGGTGATGAAGATTCAGTTGCTGGAGAACTTGACCGCACTGAGGAAGGGACAGTGAATGGGAGAAACTTTGGGCCAGGTGAACCCTTCCCAGGGCTATTCCCTCGCAAGCCCACCCCTATCACAAGCCCCAATTTAAACAATTCCTCCAAAAGAATAAAGATAGAAAAAGATTTGGACTTGCCACCAGCAACAATAATACCTTCTGAAAATGTTTACTCTCAGTGGCTGGTAGGATACGCAGCATCAAGGCACTTCATGAAGGATCCATTTCTAGGATTCACAGACTCTCGACAATCCCCCTTTGCAACTTCTTCTGAGCATTCCTCAGAGAACGGAAGCCTGCGTTTCTCTACTCCACCAGGTGATATGCTGGATGGTGGTCTCTCAGGGCGCAGTGGGACGGCAAGCGGAGGCAGCACCCCTCATATCAGCGGACCAGGTCCCGGTCGACCCAGTTCAAAGGAAGGACGGCGGAGTGACACGTGTGAATACTGTGGCAAAGTCTTTAAGAACTGCAGTAACTTAACGGTGCATCGCCGGAGCCACACAGGAGAGCGGCCTTACAAATGTGAGCTCTGCAACTATGCATGTGCCCAGAGCAGTAAGCTGACACGTCATATGAAAACGCATGGCCAGCTAGGGAAGGAGGTCTACCGCTGCGACATTTGCCAGATGCCCTTCAGTGTTTACAGCACCCTGGAGAAACACATGAAAAAGTGGCATGGCGAACACTTGCTGACAAATGATGTAAAAATTGAGCAGGCAGAAAGAAGTTAAGCCCCCCACCCCCAACTGGGTTAAAAGCAGGGGTCTAGGTAACATTTAAATTGTACAGTTTAACTATTACCAATTGAGAAAAGCTGACCTAACTTGCCTCCATAAACATATCTTAGTGTAACTATGGCAGGTGCCAGAATTTGGCACTTAAATATAACCTGTGTCTACAAAGTTCTATTAAACCTGAGGATTGGTTAAGGCAGTAAAAATTGTGAAGCCTTTTAACTGTGCAATAATTTCTGTATTTATTGGGTTTTTTGTTTATGTTTTGGCATGTGCAGGTACTTTTTTAATACTTTTTTATTTTAGATTTTTTTTAAAATTTTGTTGGGTATTCCATTTTAGTTTTCCCCAATAGTAACCTGAGATTCTTTGCATTACAAGGGGAGATGCATATCAATTTAAATTATAATTTTAGAGGGCCGCTGCTTTGTTGAATCTTACGCTGAGTATGTGTAATTTCTTGTGAAGAAGCCAACATTTTATGTTTTTGTTGTTGTTGTCCTTTAAAAAGAAAAAAAAATCATTTGAGAATTAGGAAATATTAAATAGTGTCGCGGATAACAATCTTAAAATTTTAGCACTTTCTTTTGGATTTGGATTTAAAAATTAGCACTGATAATGCCACTTAAAATAGAGGCCTTTATTTAAAATATTATTTTTAACAGATTCTAAAATAAGCATTTTGAGAAATTAAAAAAAATGGGCACCAAATTTTCTAAAAGCAGCTATAATAACAAAAGCAATAGCAAAATTTGTGCATTATTGTTAGGGAATTTGTTTAAATGCCTTATCCATTTTCTTTTCTGCCATTTCTGTTATAAAATTTATTAAGTAAGGAGAAACCTAGAGTACTGAGAACTTCATTGCCAATCTTAGGAAGCAAAACAGAAAGAAAAGCTTGAATTTTTTTTGCAGGTATGCCACTTATCCTTGTTCACATTACACATTATGCACATGGTAATTTTCACTTGATAACCCGAAAATGTACATTTACAGTAACTGACCATTCAATATCAATATGCAGCAAAGGACTAGTCAGTGTTTTAATTGAAGAATAGTTTAATTAGTAAACTTGTGTGAGTATATGTGTGCATCAAGAAATGCATACACAATATGAGTAAAATGATATTTTTATGCCATTCACTAAAATAACCATCAAATCATGTTAAATCTGCATAAATTTGCTTAGGAGTAAACAAAACCTCTTAAGAAACAGATATATTTTTGTTTTAGAATATGTTGCAGTAGGTGTTCATTTTAGAGGAATCATTCCATGTGTGTGAAGTGAAGGGATACATAGTGTACACTCTGTGTGCAAAAAGTTCCAGTCATTTTTTTTTTTTTTTACATCCTCAGGTTGGGGTGGGAAACATCCATTTCTAAAATTCTGCAAAGTGTTTTTCATGTGTTTGGCAATTCCAAACTGGACAAATTAACTAGCTATCCTAAAACAGACAGCCTATTTTAATAGGAAAAAAATGCTTTTTCTTATATGATGTTTACTATTAGCAATTTATAAATTATATTAGTTGACTAACAAAAAAGTTGCCCAATTAATCATAGGTTTCTTTATTTACTTATGGTACAATTGTACTGTATACTGAGAATATTGCTCTGAGAGTAAGCCCAGTTAAAGATCGTGAACATGCTTTTTAAAGCTGATTAATCAATTAAAGACTGCGGCTCTAAATCTTAAACTTTTAGCATACCACAAACTTTTTCTAAATGTTGTCCTGATTAAATAGATATTATTTAATTATAAAATTGGTTAGTCCTTTTTCTCTAGTTTATTTTAACATTCTTTGAAAAGGAAATTCCACACAATTTTAACACTTTGCAGCCTTCAATGGAAAGAATTGGATGCCTGCTAATGAAAAAAAGGGAACTTTAAACAAGATGGATAATAAACAGAATTTTATAGTGTATCTATGTCACTGGAAAACTAGGTATTGATACATAATATGCTATGCTAGTAACTGAATAAAGAAAAAAACCCAGTAATAAACCATATCAACCACAAATGGAAAGTGTATCATCTAGCCCTTTCCCCAAGGATTAGTTTTTGGGACCAGTATTTTTAAACTTATTCATAAATAATTTAAATTAGGGTTGAGCAGCTAGCGGTTAATTTGCTGATGACATTTCATTATTTTAGGTGGTTAAAACAACAGATTGCAAAGAGCTCTAATAGAGTTCTTTTTAAACTGCACAACTGGGCATTAAGAATGGTCATTGCAATTCAGAATAAAAAAGTGTATTACCATGTACTTTTTAATTCCTAATTTCATAAGTATTTTTATGAGGTCTAGCTGGCACAGATATACCCAGAAATTGATTTTACAAATAGTGATAGTTAGCTTGAAGATAACATTGAAGCAGTGTACAGTTCTTATAAAAACAACAACAGCAAAAGTTGCTCCACAGTAGGCATCATTAGGAAAGGAATAAAAATAAATAAATGTCCGGATACTATAATATCTTTATAAAGATATATACAATAGTTATATTCATGATATAATCACACTAAGATATCTGCGTATGTTTCTGGCCACAGCATCTTAAAAAAAATATACTGGAAAATGTGCATGAAAGGCAACAAAATTATCAAGGGGCAAGAGCAATTGCTTTGTGAGGAAACATTACATCTGGGACTTTTTAGCTTAGATAAAACAAGTAGCTTGGGAGAAAACAAACACATATAAAATTATGCCTACTGTGGAGAAGCTTTTCTTTCAGTTATTAGAATCAGGATTATCCGATAAAGTTTAATGTTGTGAGATTCAGTATAAATTAAATCTGCTGTTACACACTATAATGATTTCTCCCCCCCTTCCAACTTTTATGCCAAGTGGTTTAGATATTTGGTGTATGATTTCTTCATCCATAACTACTAGACACGATGGCCTTGCATTATTTCCTGAATCAAAGATAGTACACTTCAAAACACCAGTTGCTGTGGAACATAAGAGGTTCTATGAGGTTCATGTCTTAAAAATAAAATTTCCAACGATATCTAGTTGCACCCTGTAAGAAGAAAGAGCAGGACTAGTCAGGACTTTTCAGCATGACTTTTCTTAATGTGATTTAATTCATTACTTTTTTTCTCTAATTGAAGAAAATCATATTATATAATCATAGCACTTATTGAACATGCTGTGTTCAGACAGGATCAATGTATGATTCTGGAACCCCGATGAACAGATTTGAAAGGTGCCTTTACATATATTTTCATCACATGGAATGCCTATGATTTACATGAAAATCTACAGAGTTCTCATGAAATCAGCTGAAGTCTTACTCAGGCTCCTAAGATAATGCTTAAATTGGGCTCATATTTAAAGTTCATCTCCCTTTGAAATGGCCAACTTAAAAGAACAACTGAATAAACAGTAAGATTATATGTCCCCCTAACTTTGCCCAGTATTTAGCAGATACCAACTAGCATAACATCCAACACCCTAATAGTTGCCTTAGAAACAGCCTACCAGCCACATATGGTAGTTCACCAAAGCTTCCTGTTTTGGCTGCTTGCCGGAGATACAAAAGCAGAGATTTTCAAGTACCTGGCAGGCCCCTATATTGCTGGTGATTTGTAGTCAGCTTGTACAGATTTCTAACTAATGGCATGCTGAAACCAATACATAATCATCACAGTTAAACACTCATGGGAACACTTGTAAGAATACTAGACCCCAAGAGTAGAATGCAAACAGCATTTTCTTTTAAAAAATTGCTCTGGTTGCATAAAAACATGACACAACTCTTTAGACAATCTTCATAGTTTTTAAACTAGTTCAAAACAGGAGTGGACACAAGGCAGATGTTGCTCTCCAATTTAGTGAAAGTTTAACTTTTGATTGGCCCACGGGTATATTTGCACTGGGTTATGTGCCAGCAACTTTTTATTAAACATACCAATGCTTTTATTGTTGCTATGGTCATTCAATCAACATGTTTCTTAAGAAAACTTAAGTCTGATAGTAACCTTTTCATTGGACCAGTAATAAGCTCATACCCAACAATGATAGACATATTGGGTACAACAACTATTATATAAGGACCAACTGAACTGACGAGGCATTTTTTTTATTAACATTCTCATATAATGCACAGTTATGTTATTGTAAGCAAAATAGGTCAACAACCAGTCTTTTATGTGGGTGCCATTAAGACAACTTGTAAGAATTAAATTTGTCAGGAAGGTTTTAAATTTTGCAGCCTTTCAAATGGTACTAAAATGATTTCACTAAACTCCTGAGTTTGAAATTGCAGATCTGAGTCCTTTAAAACAAAATGTAAAATACAATTTCTTTATAAATTCTGAATTTATACAAAGCTCTTCTTAATGTCTGAAATTAAAACTTTCTTAAGAACTCTGCCATTCTAAATAAGATGTTTTGGGCTTATGCATTTTTTAATTTAGCATTTTTTTTAAAAAAAAGATACATTGTTTTTGTACATTTGTTTTGCCACAAACATTTCAGTCCCTTTTTACACACTGCATAGTTATTGGAGATTTTCATATATATATATCTTAAAGATTTTTTCCAATTAAATTGTAAATGGTAAATAGAGGTTCTTTCAATGGGAGTTGCTGAAATGTTCCCTTGAATTACTGAAGTCACTAATCAATTCATTGTTACTTCTGTTTGAATATTTTATTGAAAACCCTTTTAATTCGGAACCTTCATTTGGTAAATAACATTGATTTGAAGAAGAAAATATATTGTAGTATTTATTCACTTGCTTTGCTTTTCTGTTTCTAGTTCCATGGTTCTTCTGAGGGAAGCATGGACAGTGGCTAGAAGAGATAGAGGCTCTTCTTCATTTTCTTCTCCTCAACTTGAGTATTTTGACTGAGAGCAAAGCCTAATTTCTTTAACTGACATGTTAATTGATCAGACCTGGAACAATATGCTTTCCCTTATTTACAAAGATCCTTTCATCCTGACATATAATACTTTTTGCGAGTTATTATAGCTCTAATTCTTTGCTGTTCTTTTAGCTTTTCAGATCAGAACAGATGCCCTAAGCTGAAATGTCAATCTTTATCTGTTTGTATATGTTTGTGTGCTTTTGATGTAGTGGTTAAGTCATCAGGCTAGAAACTAGGAGGCTGTGAGTTCTAGTCATGCTTTAGACACAAAGCCGGCTAGGTTATCTCGACTAGTCACTTTCTCTCAACCTTAGGAAGGAGACAATGGCAAACCACTTATGAGAAACTTTGCCAAGAAAACTTGCAGGCAGTCTCCAAGAATTGACATATTGATATTGGACGGAAGGAAAAACAAAACACACGTGAACACACATATCTATATACAAATCTTCATACCCTAAGACTTTCTAGGTAATAATTTGAAACCCCCTGATATAGTTAGTATACATTATTCTAAAATTTACATTTTGATTCTGTTGACCCGCACTTTAAAGCTATTTTTTTTTGTTTATTTGTTTGCATTGAAGACCAGTGGCTTCTAAACAAGAAATTACAGCATTTTTGTCTTTGCTTGGCCCAGAGATGGGTGAACTATTAAAGGGGGACATCTGAGATTAAGTGTCAGTGTTGCTAAGCATGGCATTCACAATACTGGCACTATAAAAAACTAATAATAATTTATTGGACAGTTTTTTTACTGCCATTCAATTTGATGTGAGTGCCTTGAAAACTGATCTTCCTATTTCAGTCTCTTGAGACACATGCAAACAATTTTTGTGAAATGAAAAGACTTTTCAGAAAAGATAGAACAAGAAAGGTATGTTCTTTAGATGAAAAAACAAAGAGCCACATTTACATTTTTAAAAAAAAGTCTGGTTGAAGATAGTGGACATGAAACTGCCATAAGACCCAATCAAATGAAGATGTATATCCAGCACAACTTCGGACATCCATTTGCTGAATTATTCTCAGCCTTTCTCTTTTTTTTCAGGACAACGCTGCTTAGGAAATGGAATGGAAATGATTTACTGCTGAATTAAAACTCAAATGACACAAATTGCAAGTTGTTATCATTGAATGAAAAATAATTCAGGAACAACGGCTAATTTTTTAAAAAGTTAAATTTAGTGCACTCTGTCTTAAAATACGTTTACAGTATTGAATACATACAAGGGTAAAAAAATGTGTGTATGTGTGTTTGAGCAATCTTTTTTTTTTCAAAGTTTGCTTAATAGGTTATTAAAAATGCCATAATGGCCATGTGTATATTGTTTTCTTTTGGTGACGGGGTTTTAGTATATATTATATATATTAAAATTTCTTGATTACTGTAAAAGTGGACCAGTATTTGTAATAATGGAGAATGCCTGGGCATTTTACAAAACCTGAAAGAAAAAAAAACTTTTCTCTTTTTTCCTTGAAAATGTTGCAGTAAAATTTAAATGGTGGGTCTATAAAATTTGTTCTTGTCACTGTAACTGTAAAGTCTGAGTTTTAGTATTTTTTTTTCTGCCTTGGGTGTTGAATTTTTATTTCAAGAAAAAATGTATAGAAACTTGTATTTGGGGATTAAAAGGTGACTGCTACACCATGTAGAAAAAGTACGTAGAAAAAAATGCTTAATATTGTTATTGCTTTGCAGATTTAAAAAAAAAATCACATTTCTGACCTGTACCTATTTTTATCTCTTCCTCCCTTCCCCACCTTCTCCCTTCCCTCTTCTTCTGGAATGAATATTGATATTGGTTGATTCATATAATGTAGGCACTTGCTGTATTTTTACTGGAACTTGTAATTTTTTAACTGTACGCTTGTCCTTTTAAAGGGATTTAATGTACTTTTTTGTTAGTGAATTTGGAAATAAAAATAAAAACAAACAAACAGGCTGCCATAATATATTTTTTTAATTTGGCAGGATAAAATAGTAAAAAAAAAATGTATGTCAAAACCTTATTGTACAGAAGAGGGTAAAATACAACGGTTGTTTGACAACCTGTGGGTAAAAGAAAAAAAAAACCAATTATTATTTTTAATTATTGGAGGGTGCGATAGGGGTATTAAATTTTGTTTCATTTAAATTTTTTGTTCACTATTTTAGTTGTGTGCACGTGTATATATATATATGTGTGTGTGTGTATATATATATAAATATATATATATATATATATATATATAAATATTTTTTTCTGTCAGAAATGGCCTACAAAAAAAACTGCTTGTTCCTTCAAGGCAGTAATAACTTTGAAGCTGCCTGGACCCCTTGTATCAAGGCCTTCCCAGGTATTGTTGAACTAGGTGGTTGGCTGTTGTCTGTTGTTAGAAGAAATTTCATTTTTGAGAACTTGTTTGATTTAACATTCCATAATTTCCTTCACCCCAAAGGGAGGCGACTTTTTCCTAGCAAATGTAAACTTTCTAGCTACGTTCCATAAAACATATATGTGTGTTTAAGGTATCCAGAGATACTGAATTAGATGGCACTGCATCTCCTGAGGGATGAAATGGTCTGTATGCTGTCCTTCTCTCATCATCGAACAGAAGGTAGTACTCTGTCAACTGTGGGTGCCAGACCTAACTCACCCAACAGTACAAGGTTTTCTACTATGTAAAGCCTTCTTCTTCAGAGGGGCCTGATCTGGAGACTTTATGGGATCAGGGTACCTGTTTATTTCCACATTCTACCCTATTCTCTTCACAGCTTTGAGGTGAAGTCATTTTAAAAGGAAAAAAGAAGAAAGAGCAGCATTCTGTTGAGTACAACTGTGAATTGCAGTGGAGTAAAAATTAGTCCAGGCACATCCTCCTTCCCCCCCACCTTTCTGTAAGAAAGGGACCATTGTACAGGTTTTGCCAGTCTATGTTCTTTTGTCTGCTTTGCTGCTACTGTTGACTCCTAATTGTACATTCCATAAATTTTACAAATATTTGAAGGACTAGGATGAAATTCTGTACTTATTTTATTGACTAAGTTATCGTTCCCCTCCATCTTTTATTTTATTTGGGTGGAATAATGCAGGGAGAAATTGCTGAAGTCTGATGAAAAAGCTACTGATAACTTTTTACCTAAGAGGATTCTGGTAATGTTATGAAAAAAAACCATTGAGAGAAATTGATCACCAAAACAAAACATAGATTTAGATCTAAAATGTCTCAGAGGGCTTTTTTTGACCATGGGATGTTCTTTCTGCAGTGAAGAGATGCTACTGATGGAAAGATAGATCTTCATTAATTCTCCTTTCCCAGCAGTCTTATCCTCTCCCCAATTTCTTCCATCCCTGAAAACATTTTTCGCTAAATTTAGGGGCAGTGAACAACAATAACAAATAGGTGAGGGTCTTGTTCTCAGTGTAAAATGTCCAAATGTAACTCTCTTCAAGAAATGCTACGGTCTGGAAAAGAAGATCCATCTCTTCCAAATTAGGGATAAAATAATGCTGAAAGAAAAATCCATTGTGGAAAGACAGTTCACTGTATCTCTAATGAACTTCAAATAGCAGATAATAATTTAATAATTTAAGTTCTTAAAGGCATATTCGACAGTATTTTATAGAGCTGAGGTGACGCAGTGGTTAGAGTGCAGTACTGCGGGTTACTTCAGCTGACTGCTAGCTGCAGTTCGGCCATTCAAATCTCAGCGCTCAAGGTTGACTCAGCCTTCCATCCTTCCAGATTATTGGGGACAATATGCTGACTCTGTAAACCGCTTAGAAAGGGCTGTAAAAAGCACTATGAAGTGGTATATAAGTAAGCGCTATTGCTATTTTATGCATTTGACTTTTCCTTAATTGGGATATGGACAGTGATTTTTTCTGGAATATTTTTGGTCAGAATTCAGGATTATAATTTTTATTCCAAGTTCCTAGTTTCATCTTATTCTGTAATCAGTTGAATTCAAGATCTGTCACGTAGGCTCTTTTTCATTGTAGATGAACTCAATTCTGAACCACCAGCAGTTGTGATTTGAATACCTGAGAATACAGTATGTGGTATTCTAAAGCACAAAGGTTATATTCAATGAAACTATCAGGGCTCCTCCTTTTCTGCTTTTAAGATTCCAGTGTTACAATGCACAATGCGATAGGCATATCCTAGTTATCTCAGCTGTTACAATTGAATTTTTTTTATTTTGTTTAAGTCAAAATTATTCCATATTTCAAGCCTGTCCCACACTTGTTAAAATTCATTTACAGAGCATTTCTGGAGTAACTTTTTTTTAAATAAAAAGATGTAAAATAAAAAAATATGTTGTACTTTTTTTTTAACACTGCCATGACTTCAGCATTTCATCCTAGTCCTGATCACAGTCCAAGGTTTTATTTTCAGAGGCATACTCATTTTATGGTGCTCTTTGTATTTTAGAATTGCAAAGCAAAGTATTGTTGATTTCAGTTGTTTGCATTTGTACCAGCAAGTAAACTATTTTTATTACCTTTTTCTATTTCTTATTGTATGAGCTTTTGTTGTTTTCTTGGAGGTTTTGTCTTTTACAACAAGTTTGGAACTATTTATTATTGCTTGGTATTTGTGCTCAATTTAAAAAAACAGGAGCACATTTTCTATTATGGATACAAATGTTGAGATGGCAGGATGTCATTTCAATATCACTTAGTAAAATATTTATTGTTCCTTTTATTCTCTGTACAAGACTTTTGGCCTCTTTTCTCCCCTTACTGTCATATTGTTGAGTTCAGCATGTGTCTACCATTTCATTTGTACACTCATTCAAAACAACGTTTGTTCCAGTTTCAAGTTATAAAAAATAATAAATTGGACATTTGACATGATCGCCAAATATTGTCTTTACTGCTTATTTTAAGGAGTTCAAACCAGCATGGATTATATGGAAGACATTTTCTTTAACTAAAAAAAAGTTTTAGATTCCAGATTTCTTTAGAGGGAGGGTAGGGTTGTTAAAATATGCTGCTAAATTCCATGTATACAGCAGCCCCAGAACACTAATTTAATATGGAAGTATACTTTCAAACTTGTAAGAACACTTCTTTGATTTCCCTTTTTGTCTTTGTATACTTGTGGATAATAGGAAAGTTTTTCATCTGAAAGCAAAGTCATGGTTATTCAAAGAGAATCAAGTACTTGTTTTCCTTGTTCAAGGAGTAAGTCTAGTTTCTTGGACTTCATATTCAAATTTTATTTATTTGTATAGTCACTCAACTCAGACAAATGGCATTACTAAGAAAAAACAAAGCCAACAAATACAAAAATAGTGTATATTATTGTGCACTAATACAATAATGTGATAATCAAGGCGGAACTATAATGTAATTAGGTTGAATCCTGGCCCAAAGTCCAACTGCCCTTATAAAAGCCTTGTAGCTTTATACTTTCAGTTATATCTACAATAGTAGAATGAAGAGAATGGTAATGTATAGTATGCACAAACAATCTTCACCATTAAAATGATTAGGGGGCACTTTGTTCACAGCAGGAGTTAAGAGAACTTTACACATTAAAGTAAATATGCTTAAACATTGTGTTTTGATGAAAGATCAGTCTAAAGAATATTAGAAACTGAAAAGAATGTGTTCTGAGTTAAAAGGGGAATAAGCAGCAGCACACTGAAGAACTTTTAATGTGCATAGGCTTTAGAGTAATCTAAAAAACATTGTGCATATGCAAATTGAGGATACCTTGGGTGCATACACAAAACTTGTTCTAGAAAGGAAACTGAATAAATCCTACTGAGAATTATAGACTAAGTAGGTATCAAGAAAATATCAGTGATACCCTTTTACCTATGGGTAAGGAAACTGGTTTTAGTTGTGAAATATAACAACATATTCCACCATTAATGATGCTGCCTTACGCTGTATGGGTTGTAGGATTATATAAAATGATTCTACCCTTCTTGACAAAACCTGAAGAAACAGAAGTGAGGAGGAGAAAAAACAGTGTATATGGAGACCATGGATCGCTAATTTACATAAAAAGGGAGAATTCACATTAAGATCATGATATGGGTTATTCCCCCGCTCCCCCCATTTTGATACTCAGTAATGATTGGGAATAAAAAGCATTAAAGATTTTTCAAACAATGCAGGGTAATAAAGATGGCCATTTACATAATGTTATCTACATGGTTTCAGAATTATTCCTAAATTAGCAAATGATGTGTAATCTGATAGTAATCTGTCCTAAAAAAAGGAAATGTTTCGACTTAACTTTTTATGAAGCCTGTTGACATCAACTCTGATTCAATATGATTTGGAGATAGGGGAATTCACAACAGGCATGATTTGATTCAAGTTTGTGTTCTGAGATTTGAGAGTAATCTGATTCAATCTGAGTTGCTATGAAATTTGATTTGGGGGAAAACCCATCCACAAACTATAATGGGAAAAATTCAGACATGTTTTAATTTTTTGATAGAATGGGATGAATATAATAAAAATGGTACATGCTTCAAAGGACATTAATTAAAGGCAGTTTTAGTTGGGTACCTTCAAAGATGTTACAACAATACATTTTTAAATATCTCCCTTCAACCTCTTTCAGGACAGAAATGTTGGTAAGGAAAGGACAACACTTTTCTTTTTATGTGATCAGTGTAGTAATATGCACAATTGTTTACAAAGCAGTGCAGGTTTTTAGATCAGGGCATTTTCAAATATATTTAAACAAATTTAATTGCGTTAACTCTACACATCATATATCCACAGTTCTCTAAAAGTACGTGGAGTGGTGATAGGATGAACCTGAAATAGCTGTAAATAAGTTTGTAACAACAAAGCTCAGAATGACAGAAGTCCTTGGTGACAGAAGTCCTTGGTGACACTTTCTGTCCAGCTGCCTACTATACTGGACAAAACCCTTTCATCGGAGGGATATCAATATCCCACTGAACCTGGAAAAAGAAAGAAAGAAAGAAAGAAAGAAAGAAAGAAAGAAAGAAAGAAAGAAAGAAAGAAAGAAAGAAAAGGGTGGGGTTATTCTGTATTTAGAAGAAAGAGACTTTCTCCCTTAAGCAGCTAGCATGTCGCTTTCCGCTCCAAAATATTCCTACATATTCCTTTTTCCAGTCGCTAGAAGAGAAAAGTTGGACAGTTATTTCTTGACCACTGGAAGAATGGAGCATAACACAGAGGTAGAGAACCCAGACTAGGGCTATGCATGCTTCAATAATGGTTTGGAAGAAGCAATTCGGACAACATGGGTATGAATCTAACAGTCCTTTAAAGCAACTATGTCTTTTTTCAGATGGAAAACAATTGAATAAGTTGACTTATTCAATTAGAATTTCACTTGTGCATTTTTCTGCAAAAGATGAATTTGAGCATGTGTTTTAGACCAGAGTTCCCCAACATTTCCAACTTTGCGGACCAGCGGAGGGAGGAGATAGTATGCACAAGTGGCTGGCAAGCCCAAGTGCCTGCTGCTCACATAAATGTGCATGTGCTAGCCCACTCCTAATTCAAGTGATGATGATGTGTGTGTGTGTGAGAGAGAGAGAGAGACAGAGAAACGGAGACAGAGAGAGAGACAGAGAGGGAATGACTATATTCTTGCAGGCCATTTCCATGGCCCAATTGCAAATCCCTCACCAGTGGGCCGCACCCATAGGTTGGGGACCCCTGTTTCCGAGTACTGTAATGCACACTATGTGGGACTTCTAAGAATGTTGGGTAATTGAAACTGGTATTAAATATGGCTAAGTTATTGACACATATGTAGATCATTGAATATCCTTTTCTACTTTATTCTGATGTATGTGTATATCCTGTGTTTCTATTCAGAGAACACACTTATGGCTTCACTATCTTTGGAACAAACCAACTTTTATTTTTTAATCTAAAAGGTCTAAGGCTATCTGAGAGATTGTTTTTACTTCTTTGTTTAACATCTAATGAGGTTTATAAATAAACATAGTAAATTATATTGATGCACATGTGGCAACATTTCATTTGTCCTAAGGAGATCATACTGATCCAATATTTCTCTAGCTTTAATATTTCCCTGTGCTATAATGAAGAAGTAAACTTGGATTAAATTGGATTCCCGTTTGTTTTAAATATGGTCTTATTTCTTTTTTTGCATACTTTTTAAATATATATATATATATATATATATATATATATATATATAAATATTTACATACACAATCCTGGGGATCTTTTGGATAGGAAAACAATTTTCCCATTAAAAATCTTGAGAATACCAGTTTTCACAGTATTTGCAAATACACTTTTCTATCTATATACTACAGCATGAAGACACATCTATATCCATTGTGCATTTGGGGTTAAATGCCTGTGTGACCTGCTAACTGAAAGAGACTACAGAGATTAAGCCTGCAGTTTGTACCTCTACAAGTATATTTGCAAACAGGGCTGGCATTTCATTTTTCTGGACAAAACTACATGGAAAGTGAAACAGTCCTCTTTTTAATAAGAGTATATAGCTTTACAGAATAATAGTCAAACTTTTCATTTTGCTGTTATCATTTGAAAACTTACATATTCCTTTCGTAACAGAAGCTAGTGCTCTTTTTTTTAAAGAAAAAAAAAAGCAGAAACAAAATCTGTTCCTTGCCCAATATTCAAGGGATATTGCAGAACAACTTGGGAAACATATTTTGAATTCAAAATCCCACATGTTCATGCCACAAATAT